TTTTGAGAATGATGAGGGCAATGAATGTATAAATGCGCTTTACACAATTGATGTATGTATGGATTGTGATAAGAGTTGTATGAGCCCCTAATAAAACGATAGAAAAGAAAAAAAGGAGACTCCCAGGTCGCAACTTGGGATTCGAATCCAGAGCCTTGCAGGCCTGGGGAGTGGGGCGGTAGACCGACTCCTCCATTGGGAAGTGCCCACTCTCTGCTGTCCTGGCGCTGGGGACCCAAGCCAGTAAATGGTTGCGATTCCAGGGCCACCAGAAGAGAGAGGCCGGGAGCTAAAGAGTGATGAGTAGGGCGACAGGGGCGGTCAGGGAGCCGCCATCAGAGAAGGTGCCCTGAGCGGTAAGAAAGGGGACTCGTCCCAGGCAGGGGAGTCTGCAAGGACAGGAGCTCTGGCGCAGCGCAATGGTCTCCCGGTCCCTCCCCTTGGGTCACTGCCTCTGAGGGAGCAAGGCCCAAACTCTCCCTGCCACCGGTGGATCCTGCCTCACAGGGACCCTACAGGACAGAGGAGAGCTGTCCTAGGCGTTCTGAGGCTGTACATCTTTACAGGAGCAGGCAGCCTCATTTTTCTCCAACGGGAACTGCCTGGCAGCAGCTCAGCGTGTGACCCAGCAGAGCGTGGGAGCTCCTTTGAGGACAGGGAGGAAAGGACTCACTGGACTCCGGATTCAGATGGGCCACCATCTGGGAAAGCACCCAGCTAATGGTCCCTGAGAGGAGGGAGGGTGGGGGGCACAAATAATTTGTGAGCTTGAGCGCCTGGGGCTCCCAAACAGGGGCAGAGCTCAGTGGGGCAGGGGCAGAGTGGGCGTCCAGGGAGTGGGTGGCCAGCCCGCGAACTCCAAGGTAGCTTGCAGTCACGGCTGGAAGCCCTTCGTGGGAGCTGGAGAGGCACAGCCAATGCACACCACTTTGAGCATTCAGACCTGGGGGCTGTCCCGCTGTGAGAGCTCAGTCAGCACATCGGGTAACCTTGAATCCGCCTTTGCTCTCCCTTGCTCGTCCCCCACCCACCCAATGGAGTCTCATGAAGGCCCTGACGGAGAACTGATTGGTTCATCCAGTACCTAGCCTCAGGTGGCACATGAAACGATGTCACAAAAACACTTCCAAGAACCACAGGAGGCCTGATGTGGGTCTCTGGGGGATTCAGCTGACATTCCCCCGAACCACCACCTGGTGGCGCTGTGTGCAACGGCCTCGAAAATTCCCTGGTTCCTTTTAAAAAAATCATTTTATTGGGGGCTTGTACAGCTCTTATCACATCCATCCATCCATCCATCCATCCATCCATCCATCCATCCATCCATCCATTGTGTCAAGCACATTTGTACATGTTGTCATTATTATTTTCCAAACATTTCTTTCTACTTGAGCCCTTGATATTAGCTCATTTTCCTTCTTAACCTAGGGAGAGACTTCTGCAAACAGTTACGGTTTTGGAAACTCAAAAAGGGCCTGCTCTTCCCTGCTCTATAGGGTCGCTATGAGTCTGCAGGACTAGTTGGCAGGGAGTTTGGAGTTTGGTTCTTTACCTCAGTGAAACTGGAGCAGACTAACTTAGCTGTCTGGTAGGATCTGTGGTCCCTGAGGTCTGGAAACTGCCCAGTGGTTTGTGGGCAAGAAGTGGGGAGATTTGTTTCTGCCAGCCTCAATACACCATGAGAGGAGGCTTTCGATGCCCACTTGCGCCGTCGCCTCCAGGACACTCAGTAGCAGGGGCACCTCTCAGGTGAGCAAGTGGAGAATGTGCACCTGCAAGGCCAGTGAGTGGCAGGGGTGATAACCACAAACCCACTGTCATCGAGTCAACACTCAGCAATCCGATAGGCTTTGTGCGTGTCTGAGACGCTAACTTTTTATGAGAGTAGAAAGACCCTTCTTTCTCCCTCCGAGCTGCTGGTGGTTTCGAACTGCCCACCTTGCAGATCGCAGCCCAACTCTCAGAGGCCCTACGGCATGAAAAGCTAAGGCTGCCCCCTCCCTTGTGTCTCCTCCACAACAAAACTCACTGTAATCCCATTTTCTACCCCTAGAGGGCTCCCCTGACCCTGGACACCTGCATCTATGAGTGGCTTCATCTGGCTGGTCAGGCCTGGGTGAAGAAAAATGGCCAGGCCATGGCCAAGGCCACATCATCCCTGTGTTCCTCTGGAAGCTGCCAAGGACACCTCCAATAAAGTCATGGGTGAACATCCATTCCTTGCTGATGGAATATTCTCTCAGGCTCAGGCTGGGAGTCAGGCCCTCCTCCCCAGCCAGAGCATTCCTGATCTCTCCCAGGAGCAGTCTGCCCCCACACCTCCACAGAACCCTGGAATGCAGAGACAGGCAACCAAAATGTATCGCTGGAGCTGCACTGAAGGCGTTGGGGGAAAATAAGCCTCCAGAAATGGACAGCATACCAACTGGTATGTTTCAGCAAACAGATGCAACCCTGAAGTGCTCACTCACCTATGCCAAGAAATTTGGCAGGCAGCTCCTTGGCTAACAATCCAGAAGAGATCCACATACCTGTTCGTTCCAAAGAAAGGTGATCCAACAGAATGTGCAAATTCTCAAATAATAGTATTAATATCACACGCAAGTTAATTTTTTGGCTGAAGGAGATTCAATACTGGTTGCAACAACACTTCAACAAGGAGCTGCCAGCATTCAAGCTGGGTGAAGCAGACAGAACCAAGGTATCGCTGCTGATGGCAGACAGATTTTGGCTGAAAGCAAAACAGTACCAGAAAGAGGCTTACCTGTGTTTTACTGACAATGCAAATAAATGTGCCAAGGCATCTGAGTGCGAATAATAACAAATTATGGTTCATATGCAAAGAATGGAATTTCCAGAACACTCCATTGTACACATGCACAGCCTCTCCGTAGACCAGGAGGCAACTGTTGAGACAGAAGGAGGGAATACTAAACCAAAAGCCAAGCCACCTGAAACTCACTGGAATGGGGTTGATTCCAATTCAATAGCAACCCTATTGGAGGGTAGAACTGCCTTTGTGGTGTTTGAGACTGTAACTCTTGACAGGAAGAAAGACTCATCTTTGTCCCTTGGAGCGGCTGATGGTTTCAAACTTCGGACCTCAGAGTTAGCAGCCAACAGGTAATGACTGCACCACTAGGGCTCCTAAGGGAATACTAGAAAGCAGCAATGACAAAAATGCCTCACTGCTATTAAACTTAGCTATCCGATAGAACCCCTGGTGGTGCACTGGTTAAAGTGTTGGATTAGGAACCAAAGGTTCAGTGGTTCAAACCCACCAGCCACTCTATGGAGAACTAGCAGTATGCTTCTGTAAAGATCGACGGCACCAGGAACCTGATGAGGCAGTTCCATTCTGTCTTACAGGGCAGAGACGATTGGATGAGGAGATACGATGTGGTTTAAAAAGGTATGCTTCGAAGTTGGATTCTTTCACCATACTTAATCAACCTGCATGTTGAGCAAATACTCAGAGAAACCAGACTGTATGAAGAAGCATGTGGCATCCAGATTGTAGGCAGACTCATTAACAGTCTGTAATATGCAGATGACACAAACTTGCTTGCTGAAAGTGAAGAGGACTTGAAGCACTTAGTGATGAAGATCAAAGACTGCAGCCGGCAGTATGGGTTTTGTCTCCACATAAAGAAAGCCAAAGTCCTCACAAGTGGACCAATAAACAACATTGTGATAAAT